CAAAGTTCTGGACCAATTCCCAGCTCTGGTTTCTGATAATGCAAACCCTAGAAGGCAGGCCTGATGGTCCAGCGGATTTTGGTTCCTGTCACTCATGCACGTAATGTGGGCTGAGCTTCCAAATCCCAGTCCTTGTCACTGAGGGCACGTGGAAAATAAACCAATGGATGGGAGCACTATGTATCTCTTAAGTGGATTTGTGTATATAAGAAGGAAATCTAGAAGAAAAATTTTATAGCTGTTTAATGAAAAATTGTTGTCAGATTTAGGAAGAAGATACTCTGCACATATTAGCTGAGAGGCCCATGTGCGTGGCAAAAACAAAGAAGGTGAATTATATACAAAGTTTGCAACTCCTGGTATTAAAATGCATGCTGAGCCGTAACTTACATGAGATGATTATCTCATTAAATTGCACACATGAAGACTTCAGAACTTCCAAACTGTGCATTGGAGGCACAGACACTCATCTTATTAAATGCCTCTGAACTATCCTCTCATTCTTTCAGTGCTCACCAGTGCACGTTTCCTACCGTTCACTTCCTGAAGACACACTGTTTCTTGAAAAGTGGGCAAGTGATTTTGGCTCCACTCAATGGATGAGCACTGCATTCAGGAAAGCAAAAAACAAACAACAAACAAACAACACACAAACAAAAAGCCAAGCCAATAGCATCATTCAGCATTGCTCTGTTTTCCCAGCATGTGCCATGCGCAACAATTAGCAAAGACATAAAGTTGCTAGCCTTGTCCACAGGGAGGAGTCTGGGCATACGATCTAGAACAGACCAATCAACTCTAACAGCACAGCATGAGTCAGGCACAGACGTTCACTAGAAACGATCCACTATTAAGCAGATCCAACTCCGAGTGGAGAATCATAAAGAAGTCGCCCACGTGTCTTGGAGTCTCTGACACAAAAGAGCCTTTACGGTGCAGTGGTCAAACTGTCCATGCCGAAGGAGTCTGCTTAGAATGAAGGTTGGGAGGAGCAGACACAAGTAACCAAGTGGTTATTCAACAGATACTTACTAGGCAGAAGCTATGATGACTCAGACAAGGGATACAGAACTTGGGATGGAGCAATGGTCGCTGCAGGTGGCGGTGACAGCAATAAAACACAAACACACACACACACACACACACACACACACACACACACACACACGATGACCTAAGTGCACAGCAGGAGGAGGGCAGAGGCAGCAGGAGAGTGATTGGACTTTGCCATGCGGTGGTCAAGTTTTGCAGATTTAGGCAGAGACCTGAAGGAGGTGGGAGTGTGCAGTGAGAGTCTAGCGAGAAACTTTTCTAGGCAGAAGAAACAGCGGAGCAGAAGTGCTGACGTGAAAGTGGAATAATGAGGCAGAAAATACCAGAACGCGAATCAGGGCAGAAGTAGGAGAATGGATTATGTACAGCTTTGTTGGATATTTTGAAGGATTTGGCATTTCCCTCAAGTGGATGCGAAGTGACCAGAAGGTTCCGAGGATGGAAGTGACATCAACAGCCTCTCTCCTGGTCTAAGAACTGGCAAGGGTAGAAAGGGGCTAAACAGTGAGAGATGAAAGTAGCTTGTGCTGGCATGGAAACATGCGCGCAATGACAAGGAGCAGGTTCTGCATATATTTAGAAGTCAGAGTCTGTATCCTTTGTAGTATCTGAGAGAAAAGTGAAGAGTCAAGGGTGATGAGATATGGTCCTGAGAAAATGAAAGAATGGAGCTGAGCTGACTGACGTGGGGAAGAGTGAGGACGAGATAGGTTTGCAGTGGGTGGGAGGAGCAAGGAAGAACTCAGTGGCAGACATATTTGCTGTGTGATCTTGTTAGGTGATTCTTGAAGGTACTGTTTGAATGTCTGCGTTTTGTTCACACCGAAAGCCAGGCTGCCACTTGGCTTTCTAGTTACCCAAAGCACAATATCTGGACCACAGAGTCTTTCTTGTAAACCTAGGACATCCAATTCTCACTACGTTTCCTTTAAGAAACCGACACATTTCATGCTAATCCATCAGCAATTTTTTTTTCTCGTCAGTTCCTTCAGACAGAGACGCTGGTTGAGAGTAGCTCTTGTTAGGTGGCAAGTGACAGCAGCTCATCGTTGATTACTGTGAGTGGCTAATTAGTGTTTAACGTACAATGCTTTCAAAAAGCGTAAGTATTTGGATATCAAAAATTAAGTGTTTAATGGAAGCCACGGTACTTATCTGGAGAATCCGTGTGTTATTTTACATTAATCAGAATAGCACCTAATTATCTGTCTTGATAGAAAGCCTTGCACACAGCATTCTGGGATGGTGCAGAGTACATAAGACTTGCACATTTTAAGCAAGATTCTAACGAGCAATGGTGTCCTGTGTCACGGGGAAGTACATCTGATTAACAGTAACGTTCGGGCCGACCTGTGTCTTTAAGTCTTTCACCCATTCGGCATCTGCAAGTGCTGGGTTGGAGTTGGTGTTGGGCATTGTGGCTGAATGAAGAAGGTACACAAGAAATATCTCCCCATCAAATATAGAATCCAGAAGGAAGAGAGAGAGAAAGCAGTCATAGAATAGTAAATATGGCTGTAATATTTTAGACTTGAGGCCTATCGAGAACTCTCTCATTGTGTTCAGCGTAGGGGTCTTATCAAAATTCTTTTTTAGGACTTGAAGCTAAACCAGTCCAGCCAGCTTAAAAAAAAAAAAAGAAAAAACAAAACAAAACAAAAAAACGCTGTTTTACTTATACTTTGGCACATGTTAGTCTATCAATTAACACATGTTCTTTAACGTTCTTTATACACTTTTAGCATTTTAGTGATCATTTTAACATCTAAATGTAATTGTATAATTTTCACTATCATAGTACCTGTAGCTCAACATATGAGTCCCAGCTGGACAATGTCCATCAGGCACACACTGTTTCTAAGGGATTGATTCAGCTGTATTTCCCATCAGACTATAGTTCCATGAGCATAAGGTTATCTTTGATTACCTTACCCAGTTCCTAAGCATGAAGCAAAAATCACAATAATCCTGGTGTTAAATGAGCCATGAATATTCTAAGTATAGGGCTGCAAGAGAAGGCGACACGGTGGGTAAGGCTACGCCAGCCTCCGGACACCTGCGCTGCGCCTCTGTGACTGCAGTCATGTCACACAGTAACTTGCTTCTTCACCTCGGCTTCCTCACCTCTACAGTGAGAATGTTAATAGCTTCCAAGGTTGCAGGGGTGTTGGGAGACCGAGGAATCAATATATGCAAAGTGCTTTGAACCCTGACTGGAAATTGCTAAGTGTAAACCATTTCTGCCATAATGATCATCATCATTATGTGTAAATTTCTGCCTCTGAAATCTCTAAGTCCTATCTCTAAATTACAAAGGAGTGTTACTTTCCTAAACAAAAATTGATTTTATTCATCGTACATCATCAAGATATTCACCACGATTGGTCATTTCTCTCTTCCCAGTTCACTAAGTTCTTCCCTGATGATATCATGGTGCCATACTCTTTCCTAGTCAATAAATCACATCAATGATTGAATGGGAAGAAAAAGCCAAATAAACCTGAACAGGTTTGTTTTTGCAATCAGGATTTTTCAGGTGATGTGCCTCGACTATGACGTAGATTTAAGCCAAGCTATTTCAGAATTATGGCTGGGCGAGCCAAACATATTTGGAGAAAAGTTGTAAATAAAAAAAGAATGTGTAATTACTAGCCAATGTGCTCCTTGTGTTTCGTAGGATGATTAGATCAAATTTCTTCCAATAAGGATATAGTTAACTTGTCACATGTATTGGCTGCTTACAAATGGATGATTCTAAAGGGATTAAAATGTTTTGTTGCTAAACTTTTGCTCTGCAGTGCTCATTATCCCAGTTAAGTTGTTAGTCGATGCACATTATACTAGACATTAGCTGTTAATGCAAAGATAAACACTTGAACACCACTGATCAAATTAGCACTGGTTAATTGGCATCTTAAGTACTAGTACTATGTGTATATATTTCAAACTCTAACAATGCTAGCCGATCACATTCTATTACTGAGTGTTTTACCAATTTAAACCAAAACAGTAAAAGATGTTTGAAGGATGATACATGGAAACAGAAAAGCATTCAATTGACAATCAAATATAATGGTGTCATTCCTATGTGAAGCCAGCTAAGTCAACATATTCACTGAATTAATCCATTTTGAAAATGAATAAGCAAAGTTTCCTATAGATAAAAAAATACCATCGTGTGTGTGGAAATACAATGGGAGAAGCCATAAAGTATTAGTGACACAAAACACTCTTATTCCCTGCTAGCTAGGGTGACAATGACAGTAGCAAATCCAGCGGCGTCGCTATGAGACAGCGGCAATATAACACAATGATTATGTGTATGTTGGTGATGAGCATCTGATGAAATAAATGTGAGAAACCACAAAACTATAACCCTACTTGCTTGAAGACCATACACACTGGACCCGGATTCATGGCTAACACAGACTCAGCTCTGAAGCCAAACGCTAACAAATCTGGCTACAGGTACTAAAACATCAGTACCTTCTCATGGACCAACATCTTCTGATGAGAGCCCCTGCATATTTACTGCCATCTTTTGAATAATGCAAGAAGGAAAAGTAACGCAGAAAAAAAGTCACTCCTGATTCTTCAGTATTAAAGTTGACTTATTCATGCTTATCAGGAATCCTCAAGCTTTGGAGCACTAAAAACACATGAAGGCAAACCCAGCGGTGCTTACTACATTTTAACAGAAATATGGGTACATCCAGCTGAACACCTCACACTAAGATTTTTCAAAAAGTATCCAATCCCTTTCACGAGGCGTCGGCACCTAAAGACTTAGGGATGTCGGAAAGATAAGGCCACATACACGTGGCTTTGCATTTATAAGAGTCTGGAGTTGAGTTTATAGCATCCAGTGGAATTACTGACTCGAACTGCCCATTTTATGTTTAATACAGACTATTTTCTTGCCTTTGAAACAATGGGAACATACGTACGTGTTTTCTTAGTGGTGGCATTCACGGTGGTGCTGAAGGGACCAGCGCCCGCACTGTTGTAAGCCCTGACAGCTGTGTAATACACCAGATTGCTCTTCAGGCCTCGGAGTCTGGCCGACGTCTCATTTCCTGCCACTCTCACTTTGCTTGACAAGTCTTCTTCCTCTCCATCACACCAGTACCGCACCTGGTAGACACAGGACACACAACACGCCGAGGCTGAATGAAACACTGCGTTTTCATGACAGGACCTTCATGAAAAGTGGGTACTGTCCTTCATTTTCTTGTTCGCTTGACAAATACTGACAGAAGACTTCCTACGCATGAAGGACTGTATTAGCTCCTGAGTTACACAAGTGGAAACCCAGGAAAGAAACTCTAGGCTGGAGACAGATGCAAATTCAGACAGTTAAATGCCAAGTCTGCACAAGCTACACGGTAAGAGGGAATATGAATGAGGAACTGTGACGAGTTACATAGCATCCCATAAACAGTGGCTAGATCGATCCATTTTGTTTCCCTGATGAAGTTTCAAGCATAACTAACTTCAGCTCCTTGCTTCTGCAAACATGCTTGCTAGATGATTGGCTTAAGGGATTGTCTGAACTTCAGTTAATTGGCCAGTTCGTACTGTGTGCCACCTAAGCTGACTGGATGCTCAGTACCACACATCACCTTAGTTGACCTGGTGACTGTTGTGCCCCAATGCCAGCTTAAAAACCCCTGCCTTCGGTCACCTGGTGAGGTGGCTCCTAGAACATAGCAGGTGCTGCCATTGCCAAGCTTGGCTAATAGACTTCTCCTGACATCCTATTTGTGTCAGGCCTGATCTCCCTCGTTCTCCATAACAGATTCTGATATCTAACATGGTTCTCAAGTCCAAGGTCAACTCTTGAATGCTGGTAGCATGCACAGGCACCACTGTGAAGGAAGCTAGCAGAGGAAGCGTGACTGGCATAGCAGAGAAGACACCGGTCTCCTACACTGGCATAGCTGTGAATATAAAACTTGGGAGGTGAATGTAAGCATTCAGATGGGTTAATAAGTACTTAGGGTCAGGGTGCCTGGTGAAATTTTTCCTTTGAAAATATAAAAACATGCTTCCCCCCTATTTCACTCTTTGGAAAGGCAAGTTTATTCTGGTTCCTGGTTTTACCGTACGAATGGCAACTGGACAGCTAAATGGAACCCCTATTGAAATGTGAATTCTACTTCCCAAGACTCTCTGAGGGGGTCCAAAGGATGTCCCAAAAGCTACCTTGGTCCAAATCAAAATGTCAACCTCTGTCTCAGCATCTGAGATTTCAGTTTATGGTGATCCTGGGTTACCAAAACACCTTTCTGATGGCCTGTTTTGAGCAAGTCAGACAGGATTAGCCTTCTGGCCTCTGATTGACAGATGCTGTCCTTTTTTATCTGAAAACTGTGCTTAAAAGACACCATTTCTGGGTTTGACACCTTGGTAAAGTTGACTAAGCCTGCATTTGAGGTGCCAGCATTCCATTTGGGATCTGGCTTTCAAGTCCAGGGTGCCTCACGTCTGATGCAGATCCCTGTTGATGTGCCTGGGAAAGCAGCAAAAGATGGTTCAGGTCCTTGGATTCCTGTACCCACAGGGAAAACCCAGAAGAAAGGAGCTCTTGGCTCCCAGCTTCCAAACAGCCCAGCTCTGGCCATTGTGACCATTTGGCAGAGAGCGAACCAGTGGATGGAAGATATCTCTCAATCTCTCCTCATTCTGTTTTAACTTTCAAATAAAAGAATAACCAAATAAATAAACCATAACTCTCCCATCTGCCACCACCACCAGTTCTAGCATCTTCTCAGGTCTTTCCTGTCTTGCAGCCACTCTCTGTTGCTATCTTTAATATCTTTGATAACATCTGCTTTTCTCGCTGAAATTGTCTGCATGAAGTCTTTCTTCATGTGAGACGAAAATCGGGGCTGCCTTCATCTTTCACGTGGAAGTCCTCATAACACAACCATGCTGGTTCTCGTGACTGAGGCCCCGCCAACACATGCAGGAGACCTGATTTGACTCCCAGCTCCTTGTTTGGCCATGGGGCAATCACAGCCATGATGAACATCTGTCTCTCTGCCTCTCAAGCAAACAGGTAAGAATTTAAAAACAAATATTGCTTCAAATGAAAGAGAATACATCAAACACAATCAAAAGAATCTAGTAGCTGGCCACCTGCTTATTTTATAGTGATTGCCAAATGTCAACATATCTGTATGTGTCTGCAGAGAGAAAAACCAAGCCAATAAAATGACTGACTTTAACTGTGTGTATATATATATATGAATTATATACATAGGTATATATAGCATAGATGCATGTATATGTAATATAGTCAGGGGTAATATTTTGTAGAAAGAGGAGTGACAGTAGAAAAATATAGAAAAATACATGTTTCTTAGTCACTTCCAATTTATGCTATGAACATTTTACTGCACTGTGCTGGAATGACTGGGTTATCCAGAAGTAAAGGGAGAAAACAAAACCAACAACAAAACAAATAAACAAGTTGCTCATAACAAGTGCAAACATTGCTTCTATGGATACTAAACCAGATATTACCATCTGATTATCTGAAACAGGGAAAAACATTTCACACAAACACGTACAGCAGAGGGGCACCTCCCAAAAGCAAAGGCATATATATCTGTTTTCCTCCTGTAAAGAAAGAGTCTTTCTCTTGTGTTTTGTGCAATATGTGGCCTTCTCATTCTGGCTTTTGTTCCTCTATTCTCGATGGCAAAAGATAAAAATAGGAAATCATTTTAAGGACGGATGCAGAAGTAAATGGCAGTCTGCACCCACAGATGACACTTGACCTTCAGAGGTGAGAAACTTGGGAAGTGGAGAGCTGGCCAGCACAGGTTCTTAGTGAGGGAATCCCTACTTGCTGGGGACAGTGAGGGAAGGTGGACTTGGTGGATTGGTGATTACAGAGCTTACACCTGCTGATGAAGACAGAACAATGGATACTGATGTGCAATTTCCCTTTAGGGTTTGCTCAGTGCTTTCAGACACGCTCTGGGGTTCAAACAAAATGTGTTGTTGCCTGCATAGTGTAACTGCTTTTAGTACCCAAAGCCAATGACACCAGGTACAATGTTTTGCTTGTTTTTAATAAGCACCAGTAGAGAGCTCTTTCAACGCTCTTAACAGAGGCGAGAGAAGAGATCAACCTAAGTGCCCCCTCTGAAGATGAGCAGATAATGTGGCAAATACACACAACAGACCCTTCAACAGTAGGACAGGATGGAAGCCTGCCGTTGAGGAGGGTCTGCGTGAACCTGAAGGACATTCTGTCCGGTGAACTACCCCAGCATCAAGAGACAAACACTCAGTGATCTCACGAGTTGTGAAATGCAGAAAGGCCGATGGACAGAAGTTGAGCAGAGTGGTGGTTACCAGCGGGTGGGTGGATGGGAAGAGGAGGGAGGAGAAGAGGACAGGCAGAGACCGAGTCGGGGGGGAAAATCACAGTTCCATGAAAGGAAAGTACTCCAGTGCCGTGGCACACAGCAGGGTGATTCTTGTTAACAACAGTGTATTTGTGCATTTCAAAAATAACCGGAAGGTTTTTCACGTTCTCATGATAAATATTTCAGATGACGGTTATACACCTCATTTGATCATCATACAGTGTATACATGTGTCAAAACATCACGCTGTGCCCCGTATATACCTGTGTTAGAGAAATCTCAGGTTTTCCAACTGTAATTTCAGGCTAGCAAACTAATATTGCGTTCAATCAGTAAGTTTTGATTCTGCCTTGGCCGAATCCTGGCTACTAAAGATAGCTGGGGAGATCTCTCTGTTCCCTCCCATGAAAAAAACAAACAAATAAACCAAAGTCAATACAGTACTCTCCTAATTGAGGCCACAAGAGAGGAATTGAGGAATCATCAGGACCATCCTGTCTAAACAATGAGCTCCTGTTAAAATCTCATCCACAGGTCTCCTCCCACCCCCCACCGACATATCAAATGACTGCACAAGTTATCCAAGAAAGTGTTCCTTCATTGACTGATTTACATGTCTTTCATAAACCCAACTGTAAAAGGTACTTGGTAGCAATAATCCGTCAGGACTCAGGCAATTCCATGGATCAGCATGAGAAATTTCTTTCTGGTTTTTAGTTTCTAAAATATGTGAGGTAATATTTAGACACAGAAGGTATTTGTGCCAATTTAGACATGATACTCATTAGTTAAAACTGATTACATAATCCTCTTAAATAGTTTCACCTAACCATTTGAATAAGAATACATATAAAAATATAAGCAAGGCTCTGTCATTGATAGTGTTACCACTTTTGTGTCAGCTCCCGACCATACAATCTTGCTCAGAAATACTTACATTATGCTAGAAGTCATGTTGACATAGTTAGAAAAACAAGCAACAAGAAAGACAAGGTGACTCTTAATCATATTTGGATTTAAACATTGGAAGCCCAACAACTGACACAAGAGAATGTCCTCAGGATGACTTGAATTGTACAAGGCCCAGCTAGAGGGGAATATGGTGTCTAGGCATAAACAAATGTTGGGAATGCCATGGGCAGAAGAGAATTAACATAAAGTTGATAGGTCTTGAGAGTAGCCTCGACCAAAAATGAGCAGCAACAAGCAATTCAAAGCGCCCGGAGATCTCAGACACAATAGTTGAGCCCCTACCGCAGTACCTTTGATTTAGATTATATCAGGCTATCGCCTGCTTAGCTTGTAGTCCCTCTCTACAGGTTAACTTGTTAAATTATTGGAAGCCACACAAGATTGAGACTGGGCCCAAAACCCAGAAACACAAACTAAGGTTTTCCCAACAGTTAGCATCCCTCCATGTTGGCCTCCATTCTGACATCTTCCCAGGAATGTGGGCAGGCCGAGATCAAACAAACTGAAAGTCAATCTAAGACCCCAGGGAGGCAGAGTTGGCCTCTGCCATTCCAAATGAAATATGTCTGTTGGCCCCTAACACTGAGTAATCGAAGAAAGGCCATCAGCACTGTGGACCTTCCAGGGCTTCACACATAAGCTGGTCACGGCACTCTCCTCCCCCACTTTAATCTATGAGATTCTCTGCTTCTAGTACCTCAAGAAGTCATGGAATTGAGCTGCCCGACTTTGTGCTCTGTGCATTGGAAATAAACGCCTACCATCTTCCACCATGTGAAT